TACAGAAAATAATGAAGATAAAGAATTACTTTTACAGATATGTTCAATCAAAAAAACTCTGGATACAGAAAAATATTCAATGATTGCTAATACTCAGGTTTTGAGTGATATAGAAGCTTTGAATATTTGAGAATATTTAGAAAGAGAAGAGGATATAGACCCAGCCTATAGACTTGCTTTGCAGAAATACAATCTCGCATCTTTTTATAGAAAGACCCCTGAAGATATAACTGAAGATTTTGTAGAAAAATATTCCCAAAAAGAGATGCGAAATGCGTATAGTGCATTAGTTCAAGCTGTGAACTCTCTTGATAACTTGCATGAGAATTATAGATTTATGGTTATTGGAGACTCATAAGAGAAGGCTTCTTGCGATTTATTATTGCCAAAAGTTATTGCTTTAGAGGAAATTTTACGAGGAATAGATTTTCTTCGAGTATTCATACATCTTATACTTTATCATATCAAGATTTTGATACTAATTTACCAAACTCTGAATTTTCTGAACTGAGTTCAAGAAGTGATTAGCAAATTTCTTGCAAAAAAGAAAATAAAGATTCAGAATTTTCAGAAACAAAGGTAACTACTATAATCACTTTCTCTATCCTATTGTCTCACACTTCTAATTTAGGAGATGAGTTAAGTAATGATCAAGATTTTGATTTATCAGAAGTCAAGATACAGATGAGTTGTGCCAATGATGAAGATTCCAACTATGATTACGATGATGAAGATTTCTCTGATGACAACAATGAAGATAATGATAAGAATAATAGAAGCTTCTGTGGTTTTTTTAATAATGATGATGGTTATTATTATGATTTAAATACTGGTGAAACTTATACAAAATTAGAACATTGTTATTTAATTTATGCATATTAATAATAACGTAATACTAATTCTTCAAATAAAAATTCATTTCATAGAAAAATAATTCACTTTAGTTATATATTGCAGTTTTGATCAGATGTATGTAAAAGTAAAAAATAGCGAGAGCACAGGACCCCTCTCTCTTTATTTCATAATAATTGTTACTAGAATGATAATATACAAATAATATATATATATTTATTATATAATAAAAAATAACCTTAATGGGTTAGGTTGGTGGGGTTTATATTTAATCTAATATTTTCTCTTGCTGACCAGGATTTAACCAATCATTATCATCATTGTCCCTATCATGCTCTAAGTTTTCTTTTGCCATTTTTCCCCAGGTCTCATTATAAAATAAAAATTATCTCAGCTTGTATTGTTGATTTGTTTTAGAATAGTTGGGGGTCTTATTTTTCTTGTTTTTAGAGGTAGT